GAAAGTTTAGGGCAAAAAAACAAAACACTCAGACAAGGAGGTTTTAAGTGCAGCCCTTTGCTTGGATAGAGTGGGGCAAAAGGCAAACAACAACAACAACGATGACAATGATTTATTTGTACCCTGCCCATCTGACTAGGTTACCCCAGCCACTCTGGGCACCTTCCAGCATAAATAAAAGATAATAAAGCCTTAAACCTTAAAAAGCTTCCCTTTATAGAGCAGCCTTCAGATGTTTTCAGATGTAAGTGTGGATAAACCCTGAGCCTAAATTAATGGTACCTATTGGGGGGGGGGAGAGAGAGAGAGAGAGAGAGGACATATAGATTTTTGAGATCAAAGCATTCTTTCGTACAACATTTGGAAAACAAACAGGACACCCCAGTGGGGTTGGCTGATGCTCCCTAGCACCCTGCGGCTGTCACTATGCAGCTGTTTGTTTAAGAAGAACTTCAAACATGAGGTCTCCTGCAATCCAGTGTCATTGAATGCCTGACAGAGACCATCCATCAAGCCAAAGTGCCGAGAGTGAGCAAAGTCGTGATCTTTGAGCCCAAGACATGCAGCCTACATATTCCCAACAAAGCCATGAATCCCATCCGCAGTCTGAAAGCTCCACGCACAGACCCCCATCTGTCCCATGACCCCACCACCCACACATAGTCCTAAAGCTTCATAAGTCATACACCTTCACTTCACGCCTTCTGGAAAAGGCCAGTCAGTCTTGATTCAAGGTCCAGTGTGATTCCTGCTTTAGTGTAATGCAGAATAATGAGAATGTATGTTCCCAAAGACTTGTGCTTCCCCCTGTGTGCATCCTGGTGTATAGAATGTGGGGACCATTACTCAAGGATGAGTGAATCTATCTGTTTTGTTTATTTCTCAGCTTCCCATTTTTGAAATCTGGTTCTCCACTTCATGAAAATTCATCAACATAGTAACACTAATTTCTCCTAACAGACACATGAATGGTATACAATTTTTGCATACACATTTTCACAAGGCAATGTTTCCTAACGTAATGCATTTATTTGGGTTACTTTCACCAAACAACCTAATTTAGTGGCAATACCACCTGATTTCCATGAATGTGATATGTTTAAACTGTTTTTAATACTGAGTTTTAAATTAATTGTTGTAGCCCACCCACGAATCTGCTGGTGAAGGGCATGTTAAGAAGAAGAAGAAGAGGAATTAGAAGCATCCCTTTAAGCAGTTTCTCCTAATAGATGCATGTCTGTAAAGATTACTCGGCTGGGAATTGTGTTGCAAAATCCAGAAAGGTGCAACTTTCAAACGATTGATATTTCTCCGTCTGCGTATTGTTTCAGAAAGTGAGAATCAGGTAGGTTTGCATTAAAATGCGAACTGGATCAAATGTCTTCCCGCACCCCTAGTGGTAGAACATCTGCTTTGCATCAGGAGGTCTGAGGTTTCATCCCTGGCCTCTCCAGTTAAATAGAATCAGGTAGCAAGCAATGACCCCAGTCAGAAAGCCTCAAAAACCACTGCTGGCTAAACAGTCTGACCTAGTACAACAAGACAGCTTCCTTTGCTCCTAAATAATCCTGTTGGATTGCAGGGGAATTGTCACAGTTGTGGTGATCCATTGCAGTGTTTTTGGCACAGGCATCTTAAAGTAGGACCTTTCTCAGCCTGAAAGCCACATTGGCCCAAAATTCAGCATCTTGATTACTGACTAGGGTCCCTTTCAAATTTCATATAGCCCCAGTTCTGAAACAGCGACACTGGTTGCCAGGCCCAATTCAAGGTGCTCATGTCATACCTCGGGGGGGGGGGGGAATGGGACATCCTGGTTTTATCATACAAGATCATGGCGGCCATTTTGGATGCCACAATGTCACCTCATAAAAACCGTTCATTTTTTCAGAGCAAGAATGAGGCGCGGGTCACATGACTTGCCTGAAAGTGCATCCTGAAAGACACACGTCGTAGTTTGGGGTCTGAAAAAGTTGGACAGTGTGTCATGCTAATGTTTAAAGCCCTTAATAACTCAGGCCCCAAATATCCTTCCCTACAGACAATCTCAGATGCTGAGATTGGTAGATGGGGCCCTCTTGGTAGTTCCTCTGCCCTCAGAGGCTTGCAGGGTGAGTAGTGGCCTGGGAGAGGGCCTTCTCTGTGGTGGCCCCTAACCTGTGGATCACCCTCTCCACAGAGGTGTGTCTGGCACCTCTTTTGCCACTTGAGATGTATAGTTTTCAGACCCACCTTATTTTGTGATTGTAGATTGCTTGAAACAGTTTTAACTATTGCATTTTAGTGCTGCAACTTGCCCTGGGACCTTAGGCTGAAGGGCAAGTGAATAATAATAATAAGAAGAAGAAGAAGAATTCCTTTTTGCAAAACTTTCCAGGGGCCACATACCAGCAGTGGGTGGACCCAGATTCAGAAATGGGCAGAGCAAAAAATGTGAAGCCCAGTTCTCATCTGCCCAAGTCATCCTGATGGGTCAAGGATGATGGGAGTTATAGTCCGACTACTTGTGCATGGCACCATTTTAGCTAACTCAGATGTTGCCCTTACATGTGAAAGTAAAAGGAAGGAATATGGGAAGGATCTGCTAATGGCCCAGGGACAAGACAGGGCTGGGAAAGGTTTGGAATGACTCCAACTTCCATCAGCTGCAGCCAGCATGGTCCACGGCTAGAATGATGGAACTTGGAGCCCAGTAACATCTAGAGATCCACAGCATCCTCATCCCTGGAGAGAACCACATGCCCTCCAACACGTTGAGTCTTAAAACTGAGTCATGCATCTTTTTTTTTCTTCAGGGCTATGCTTTTGCACAAGAGCATGAGACCCAAAAACACATGTTCTGGGGAGCTGTGTGAGTTCGCAGCCCCCCCAAAAGTGCTTTTTCAGGGCAAAATCTTGGTGCAAAACTGTGTGAGATCACAGTGCCCAAAATGGCTGCTGTGCTCTCACAGGGAAAAACGGGATGTCCCGGTTTTTCTGGGACACTTGTGGGGTATGAAACCAGCGATTGGACACTATGGGCATTGTTAGGCATCTTCTAAGGCTCATGCCCACTCAGTTCTTGACCTTGTGGTTCTGCCTTCTCCTTGTCGTTCTAGCCTATGCTTTCCAGACTTAGTTCTGCTTTGCTTGCTTCCTTTCCAGGAAAGCCTTTACAAGTGGTATCAGTAACCATGCCGGTTATGGATCACACAGCCTTTATGTAACCAAATCACTTGCAAAAGTTACTTTTTAAAGCTATTAAGAGTTGTAAGCAACTTTTACAGATTTGCTAATGGGCGCCAGTTGTTTTTAATGTTGTTTTTTTCTTTAAAAGAAAATAAAAATCCATTTAAATGTTTTAATTGCCCTGTTAATATGCCCTTACTTGTGTATATTTCAGGTCCCACTCCATGTATAGAATCAAATCTCTCTCTTTCTCTTTCTCTCTCTGTGTGTGTGTTTGTCTTTGTGTTAATTTGAAGGTCTGTGGGCTATTAAGAAATATGAACTGAACTGAACAGTAATAAAAGCAGGGGTCCTATTTTACAGAGGACAGTCCTTTGTTTGGTAGCCAAGTGTGATTCCCACCTCTTCTCTTTTCTCCCTGCCCCTTTCCCCTTGTGTGCCCTTTTTTGCTTTAGATTGTAAGCGTGCAGGTAGAGACTCCCACTCTGGGAGGGATGCATACAATTTAAATAAAAAAATAAAATTTGAAGGAGTCCTCAATCTCAGTGATAAGGGGACTCTTTTCCCCTTCAGGTCAACCTTCTGAGGAACCACATCACAATAGTTGCAGAGGGCAAAGGGAAAACTGGGCAGATGGGGTCTTTATAAATGGTCTAGGCAGCCTCCGTGGTCTTGTGGGAAGTGGTGGCTGCTGTCCATTGGGACTGGAAGTCAGGGAGGTTGACAGTAGGAGGCGCTAGAGCCAATGGTTTGTTTGTAAGTAGGAAGGCAGGCATGTGGAGGCTGAGGCTGGTGGGCCAGTGCCCCATTTGCTCTAGTGGACCGGCTTCCACTTCTCTCCCCTGTATAGAAGCATTTAATGAGATGGAAATGATTTCACAAGCTATGAAAGACCTTCTATTGCCCCCTTCCCCCAGCCGAGTCACAACTGAAAGCATCAAAAGAGCTATATCCCCTCGTGGAACATCTAATCTTTCCAAGCCCAGCTGTTTGAGGAGAAGGATGGGGGGGGAGTGAGGTGATCGCAAGTTTGGATCAAAGGTATAGGTCAGTCTGAGGCTAACGCGCGGGTCAGATATAATGCTAGCCAAGGCTGCTGGCCAATCTTTATTGCAAAACAGCGATGCGTGGCTTGGATCGCCAAAGCGTCGGCAAGAGATGGTTCATTTCCCCCTGATGGCTGAGAAACCTTTAATCATTCAACAGGCTAATCCCTGTCCGGGGAATTCTGGGGAAATTAAAAATGGCTTAGCTTGACTCAGATACGGGCAACAGTGTTCGTTTCACACATATTGATAGTGCAAGGAGCCTGGAAATATTTCAATCTCCCCACCCCCCAATAAAATATACTCTAATGGCAAGGAAAGAAGGAGAAGAAGGAGAAGGAGAAGGAGAAGGAGAAGGAGAAGGAGAAGGAGAAGGAGAAGAAGAAGAAGAAGAAGAAGAAGAAGAAGAAGAAGAAGAAGAAATGATTGCTAAAATTCCTGAACATCCAGCCCACCAAGAGTATTTCATGCTCCCAGATTGCTTATGAATGTGCATTAAAAGCAAAGGTACCATTTTATCCCTGTAACCAAATCCATCCAGACGTAGCTCTGATCAAACGCTGGTGTCTAGAGCAGTATGAAGAACTCAGTCTTTGAAGTGTTTGCTCTGATCTGATCTGCACGTAACACGAGGATCAGAACATAGATATCCATCAGTTTGCTTGCTTGCTTTGTATTTTGAAAGAATTTGATGGAACGTTGGTTCACTCAGCTCAGTATCGTCTACAAACTGACCACTAGCAGCTTTTCAGGGTCCGGGAGGAGCATTCTATCTCAGTCCCTTCCTGGCGATGCCGGGATTTGAACCTGAGACCTTCTGCAAGCAAAGCAGACGCTCTACCACTGAGCTAGGTTTGATCCGTGTTTGGAAATGGGTGCTTATATGTGAATTTTCTTATGGGTTGAAAAACTGCAAGTTAATGTGGAAACGCGAAAGATTAGATGCAAGGGTGAAAGCACATGAACGAGACATGGATCACAAATACACTGGTTTGTCTACCCCTGAAAATGTCATTCCATCTGGGGATTCTCTCTGTCACCTAACGGGAGGTGACACAAGGAAATTTGCTGGTCTAATATGCTTCAGAGCCAATTGATTTTTCTATGGTGAAGTCAATGCACATTGGCTGTGAAGTTCACCAAAACCAGACAGTTGAACCCTCCGACACATCTCCAGACTGTGACTCACCATGTCATGGCACAACTCACTTGCATGGTTTCTCTTTCAGGATGTGGTTGATGAGTTGTGATCTGGACAGATGCTGAAGTTTCCCCAGACCAGACCGGTTTTCGCAGGCCTCGGTTCAGACACCAACTTAAACATGGGCCTGTGAAATATGGGCTTCCATGAAGAATTGGCTCATGCAATGGAATAGAACCTTTTGGAGTCTGAGGGCCATGTGCTCTTCTACACAGCCTTCAGGGGGCATGCATCAGTGGTGGGCCAGAAGCAAAAAATGGGAGGACCAACGAGTGCTGATTTTGATTTTGTCCAGTGGGGTTGCTTCTACACACATTCACAGAGTCATAGCCAATTACATTTTACGCAGAGCAGACCCCCTGAAATTAATGAGCCTAAGTGAGTCCTGGCCATTCATTTTGATGGGTCTACCCTGAGTAGGACTGGCATGGAATGAAACCCAATTATCCCTCTTTATCCTCCATCCAAGCACTCTCAGATTTCAAGGACCCACTCCAGCCAAGCAAAAGCAACAAGGGGTGTGTCCCGGGGAGAGTGGGAATCACCTAGGGAGAGTCCCAAAGGACTTGGAGTCTAGCAACATCTAGAGATCTACAAATTCCCCATCCATGTGGAGAGACTTTCGCCAGCCAGCAATTGGGCAATGCGTGTCCTGCTGCCAGGGCCAATATCAGGGCCATTGTTAGATAGCCTCCAAGCCCCATGCCTAGTCAGGGCCCACTGCCAATTCTTGAACCTATTGACCTTGTGGCTCCACCTTCTCCATGTTGTTTCAGCCTGTACTTTCCAAACTTTGTTCTGCTTTGATTTTTCCCTTTCCAAGAAAGCCTTTAGAAAGGGTATGTGTTATGGATCACACATTCTTTATGTAACTGAATCAGCTGAAAAAAGTTTCTGTTTCAAACTATTAAGAGTCGTGAGCAACTTTACAGATTTGTTAATGGGCACTGAGGTTTTTTAATGTCTTTTAAAAAATAACAAATAATCTATTTAAAGGTTTTACTTTTCCTGCTAATATACCTTTTTTGTGTATTTGAGGTCCCACTCCTTCCATGAAATCAAATACCTGGGAGTGTGTGAGTATGTGTGTGTGTGTGTGTGTGTTTTAATTTGAAGGTCTGTGGGCTAGTAAGAAATATGAATTGAATGGTAATAAGAGCAGGTGACCTATTTTACACAAGACAGTCCTATATTTGAAGGGATCTGCTATTTTAGGAATAGGGAATCTTTCCAGTGCAAGGGCCATATTTCCTCCTGGGGGCCACATGCTAGAAATTGGTGGGACAAGGGGCAAAGGTGAACAGAGAAAGTCTTTAGAAATGGTATATACAGCCTTCCTGGTTGAGGAACACACAATCCTTATGTAACTGAGTCAGTTGCAAATGTTTCTATTTTGTAAGCGACGTTTGCAGAATTGTTAAATCCTGCACGGGTGCTTTAAAAAAAAAAAAAAAGTTGTTCCCTTTAATGATTGCATTGAAGATACAGTGGACCCTCCGGATACAAATTAAATTTGTTCTGGGGGTCTGTCCACAACCTGAAAAGTCCGTAGCCAGAGGTGCCTCTTCTGCACATGCGGCGAAACCCAGAAATATACACTTCCGGGTTTGTCATGTTCTTAACCCGAAAGTTACGTATCCAGAGCGGTACGTAACTAGAGGGTCGACTGTATGTACAAACATGTACACATGAACAAGTTGTGAAGAAACATAGAGTTGCCATGGATAAATTTAACGATATTTGGAATTCATTTTCATAAAGACCATATTAGATTAAGGTATGGTTAACTACAATAACATCCCCCCCCCATTTTTTTGTAATGTACACAATATAATTTTACTGTTGTTATTGCTCTGCCTTGTTTTCTACATGGGTACTATTTCTTGTTTCTTCTTTTTTGTGTCTTACCCTACACTTATAATTTTGTATTTTTTATTTTTTCAATAAAGACTATAAATATATATATGAAAAATGTACTTAAATGTTTTATGTGTCCTGTTAATATACCTTTCTGTTTATTTGCACTCACACTCCTTGTATGGAACCATTCATTTATTTATGTATTTATTTATTTGATTCCATTTTTATGAATCACTTTCCATAAAACATCTTGAAACAATTTCACATCTGGGGTGTGTGGGTGTGTTTTTATGAATATGAACTGAATGTGCCCCCCCCTTTTTTTTTCTTGTTTGCAGACGACAGTTTTCTCTGTGGAGGAATCCTATTTCAGGGATAGGGAATCTTTTTTCCAGCTCAGGAGTCTCATTTCCTTCCAGGGGTCATGTGACAGTGGTGGGCGTGGCCAGAGGCAAAAGTGGGTGGAGTTACAAGTGTTAATTCATGGCTAGTTTCTACACACACACCCCTTCTCTGTCCTCCATCCAGGTAAGCAAAGAGGCTTTATCAGAATTCAAGGACACATTCCAGCCAGGCAAAAGACACTCAAGCAGGATCAGTATCAGGTGCGACTTAATGTCATGGACTGTTTGGATGTAGAGGAATGGTGGGACGAACCAGCTGAGGAAACTCAGAAGAAGAAGGCTCAGAGCCTGGGGACTGGTGGTGGGATGACAATGAGTGGTCAGAGGGAGCATACTGGGAAGAAGAGGTGTTGGAAGCTGAGGAGGCAACAGGGCTTAGTGAGCTGGGAAAGCCTGTGGCAGACAGCAGTGCAGAATCAAAGGCAGACCCTGAAGCGGATGAGTGGGAGGATGGAGGCCAAGAGGCAGAGAGGAGTCAGGCTGGTGGAGTCACAGTGTTTCCCCCCTCCTGCTGCAACAAGCTCCCCTCCCCCCGGGTCTCCCAGAACCCAGAGAGGCATGAAGTGTGAGGAGCAAAGGCAGATATGCAGGCGTGGTCTCAGATTACTTCGTGAAACTATAGAAGAGGGTAAAGGTGAAAAAAGATAAAGGACCCCTGAATGGTTAAGTCCAGTCAAAGGTTGCGGTGCTCATCTCACTTTCAGGTCAAGGAAGCCGGCGTTTGTCCACAGACAGCTTTCCGGGTCATGTGGCCAGCATGACTAAACTGCTTCTGGTGCAATGGAACACCGTGGCGGAAACCAGAGCCCACAGAAACGCCATTTACCTTTCCACTACAGAGGTACCTATTTATCCACTTGCACTGGCGTGCTTTCAAACTGCTAGGTTGGCAAGAGCTGGGACTGAGCAACGGGAGCTCACCCCATGGCGGGGATTCAAACAGCCGACCTTCTGATCAGCAAGCCCAAGAGGCCAGTGGTTTAGACCACAGCGCCCCCCGCATCCCGATAGAGAGGAGGAGACAGGAGATGAGACCTACCGAAAATGAGTTGCTGTGCTCGTTAGGCCTGGCACTCCTGTGCAGACCCTGTTTGTTCTAATAAAGAGTTAACTTCACCTACTCCCTGTGATTTACTGCTGGCTCACTCGTGACACCTTGGGAATGGCCAGCAGGTCAGATAGAGAGGACTGGAGGGATCACATTCACTGCTGCCCCCAAGTTTGAGGCTCCTCAATCCTGCTCAGTTTGAAGGTTGTCTGGCCCAAGTCTATACCAGACTTAAATAACCATAGAAAGGGAGAGTGGGAGGGGCCTTGAAACTGTCTACCAACAATTCAGTACCAGGACAGCAGACTGAGGCCCCATTTGCACCATGCATTAAAAGCAGTATCATACCACTTTAAACAGCCATAAAGGTAAAGGAACCCCTGACCGTTAGGTCCAGTCACGGATGACTCTGGGGTTGCGGCACTCATCTCACTTTATTGGCCAAGGGAGCCGGCGTACAGCTTCTGGGTCATGTGGCCAGCATGACTAAGCCGCTTCTGGCGAACCAGAGCAGCACACAGAAAAGCCGTTTACCTTCCCGCCGGAGCGGTACCTATTTATCTACTTGCACTTTGATGTGCTTTCGAACTGGTTGGCAGGAGCAGGGACAGAACAACGGGAGCTCAACCCTTCGCGGAGATTCGAACTGCTGACTTTCTGATCGGCAAGCCCTAGGCTCTGTGGTTTAGACCACAGCACTACCCACATCCTCCAAGGAATCCTGGGAAATGTAGTTTGTTATGAGTGATGGGAATTGAAGCTCTGAGAGGGAGTCGGCTAACAGCTTTCAGCACCCTTAACCAACTAACTACAGCTACTGGGATTCTTTAAGGAAGACCATGACTGTTTAAAGTGGTTTGATACTGATTTAGACATACAATGCAGATGGGATATGAGCAGATCCACAGCACACCTGGTTGCCATCTGCCCCGCTATGGTGAGATGTGTTCTGTTTTTGTGTAAGATGATAGTTTAGAAGACTGCATCTATTCACATAAACTAGCATAGTAACAAAGAAGGCCAACAGCAATTAAAAAGGCAACCAATGTTGTTGTTTTAAAAGCTGCAGATCACACACCATAAAGACTAGGAGCCTTGTATCTGCCTGCTTCTCTTTGGTAAAATATTGCAACCCAAGCCAGGCGCTGCGTTTGGCATGAAAAGTTGGTCGTGGGCACTCAAAACCCTAAAACTCACTTCCTTCAAGTCAAACTCTCTGCCTTTGGAAAGTGAAACCACCACCCCTCTCTCAAACAGACAGCGCAGACTAATCCACTTAAATCCGGCTTAGCAATTAAACACACATAAACACACTTTTCCAAAACATTGTTAGAGCAGAGGTGGGGGG